TGATTATCACACTATGTTTAGGGAATACCCATCATCTCATTGATACAAGATTAAAGAAATTGTTTTCTTATGATGAGAACTCTTATAATTTACTCTCTTAACAACTTTCATATATAACATATGCAGTGTTAATTATATTACATCACATCCCTAGTACTTATATCTTATAACTGAAAGTTTGTACCTTTTGACTGCTTTCCTCCAGTTCCCTCTCCCCCACCACCTCACCTCTGGTAACCACAAAGCTGATCTCTTTTTTGTTTAGGGAGCATAACTGACCTATAAACCTATGTTAGCTCCTGTTCTACAACATAGTAATTTGGTATTTCTGTAAATTTTGAAATGATCACCACCATAATCCAGTTAAGATCTGACACAATACAAAGATATTACATATTTAATGACTATTTACCCCACACTATGCCTTTCATACCCATGACGCATTAATTCTACAACTGGAGGTCTGTACCTCTTAAACTCCCTCATCTATTTCTCTCCCCCCCCCCGACTCCCTCCCCACCTCTGGCAACCATCTGTTTGTTCTCCATTTCCGTAACTCTGTTTTATTATGTTTGTTCATTTGTTTTGTTTCTTAGATTCCACACATCAGTGAAACCATACTATATTTGTCTTCCTCTGTCAGATTACTTCACTTAGGATAATACTCTCTAGGTGCATCCATGTTGTTGCAATGGCAAGATTTCATTCTGTTTTTATGGTTGAGTAATACTCATACATATGTATATATATGTGTGTGTGTGTGTATATGTGTAAAATATGTATTTTTGATAGTAATCATTTTGATAGGTGTAAGGTGATTATTTCATTGTGGTTGTGATTTGCATTTCCCTGATGATATGATGTTGAACATTTTTCATATGCATGTTGGCCGTAAGTATGTCTTCTTTGGAAAAAACAGATTTCCATATATTAATTTTGTATTTTGCAACTTTACCAAATTCATTGATGAGTTCTAGTAGTTTCTAGTAGCATGTTTAAGGTTTATATATATAGTATCAAGTCATTTGCAAAAGTAACCTTTTAACTTCTTCACCTCCAGTTTGGATTCCTTCATTTCTTTTTCCTTGTGAGATTGCTATGTCTAGGACTTCCAAAATTATGTTAAATACAAGTGGCAAGAGTGGACATCCTTGTTTTGTTCTTGAGCTTAGAGGAAATGCTTTCAGCTTTTCACCACTGAGTATGATGTCACTTGTGGGCTTGTCATACGCAGCCCTTTATTATGTTGAGGCATGTATTTTCTATACCCCTTTGCTGAGAGTTTTTATCGTAAGTGGAAATGGAATTTTTCAGGTTTTTATGCATCTATGAAGATGATCATATGATTTTTGTTCTTCAATTTGTTAATGTAGTGCAGCACATGGATTGATTAATGGATACTGAACCATCCTTTCATCCCTGGGATAAGTCTCCCCTGATCATGGTATGTGAACCTTTAAATTTATTACTGAATTCAGTAGCTAAAATTCTGTAGAGGATTTTTGCATCTATGTTTATCACTGATACTGGCCTGCAATTTTCTTTTTTTGTGTGTGATTACCTTTCTGGGTTTTGGTATTAGAGTGATGCCAGTCTCAGAGAATGAGTCTGGAAATGATCCTTCCTCTGCAATTTTCTGGAAATATTTGAGATGACTAAGTGTTCACTCTTCTCTAAATGTTTGGCAGAATTCATCTGTAAAGCCTGAACTTTTGTTTGTTGGGAATTTTCTTTATTCCTGATTCAATTTCCAGCAGTTTGTGGTTTCTTCAAGATTGTCCACTTTTTAGCAATTGTTGGTAGCAATCTCTTATGATCCTTTGTATACCTGTGGTGTTGGTTTTAACTTTTCTTCTTTCATTTCTGATTTTATTGATCTAGGCCCTATCTATTTTTTTCCTTGATGCAACTGTTAAAGGTTTACCAATTTTGTTAATCTTTTCAAAAAACCAGCCCTTAGTTCCATCGATCTTTTATTTTATTTTATTTTTAGTCTCTTTTTCATTTATTTCTGGTCTGATATTTATTTCTTTCTTTCTACAAACTTCAGGTTTTGTTTGTTCTTCCTTTCCTAGTTCCTTTAGGTGTAAGATTAGGTTGTTGGTTTGTATTTTTCTTGTTGCCCGAGATAGCTGTGTCACTGTAAGATTCCTTCTTAGAACTGCTTATGCTGCATCTTGTAGATTTTGGACTATAGTATTTTCATAATCATCTGTCTTCAGGTATTTTTTCTTTCTTCTTTGATTTCTTCAGTGACCCATTGGTTATTTAGTAGCATACTGTTCAACCTCCATGTGTTTGTGTTTTTTGTAGTTTTTCCCTTTTAGTTGATTTCTACCCTCATAGCATTGTGGCCAAAAAAGATGCTTGATATGACCTCAATTTTATTAAATGTCTTGAGACTTGTTTTGTGACCAAGCACGTGAGAATGTTCCATATGCACCTGAAAAGAATAGACTTACAATATGACCCAGGAATCCCACTCCTGGGTTTGTATCCAGAAGGAACCCTACTTCAGGATGACACCTGCACCCCAATGTTCATAGCAGCACTATTTACAATAGCCAAGACATGGAAACAGCCTAAATGTC